TCCACGGGCCTCCCTACCATCGTACCCGAAGATATCGCAGCCCCCCGTGGCCAGCGCTGCGCTCTGCGCACCCCATGCTCCGCTCTCTCCCTCGCCCTGCTCTCCAAGGCCGGGACCGGGTCTCCCTGTTTGCTTGGCACAGTCCCCAGCCCCGCAGAGACCTGATCTGCCCGGCGCCCCCGGCCGTGCAGATAACCCACAACCACTGCCCTGAGAAATGCCGGCGGGCCCTGCTCACGGCCACGCAAAGACCTCTCTCCTAGCCTGTCCGTGTCACCTCTCCCGGCGCCCACGGCCCCCTGCACACCAACAACTTGGCGCTTTCTCCTGCCCTGCCCCAGAGCCACTCCCGCCCCCGCCTGCCAGTGCCCTCGCTGCGGTGCGCTCACGGAACTGCCCCATGGGCTGGCTGCGGGGCGCAGAGTCCACGGCCCGTCAGCTGTCTCTGTTCGCAGGTCCCCCCGGTGGCACCCGCTGAGACGCAGGTCGGGAGCTCCCTGTGTTCTGCGTTTGTGCAGCTCAGAGCCCCACGGGGCTCTGGCCCCTGCCTAGAGCTCCCACGCCCTGCCGCGCATGGCCACTGCCAAGGACAGTTTTCGGGTGACAAGAGGCCACCGACTCCTGGGCTGGGGCGTGGCTGGAAAATGGCTGAGGGGGGCAGTGAGTTTTGCCCCTTCGGGATCAATGCCACATGACCGATCTTAGGAGTTGCCTGCAGGGATCTCTCCACCGTGTCACAAACAGACCTGGGCAGCCACGTCCCACGCCCCCAGCCACGCCACACCATGCCCCTTTCTGCCCCTGTGGCGTAGTGGGGGGGCCTTGCTGGTGGCTAGGCTTGGGCAGTGGGCTGTGGGTGATCTCCGCTGGCAGCTGTCTGTAGCACGGCCCAGCAGGACAGGGGATGAGTCACTAGGCAAGGGGCTCCCAACCTGTCCGACCAGTCGCCTCCCAGGGAGAGAGACAAAGGGAGGAAGGCGGGGTCCAACCCCTGGCTAGGGGCAGGGCGGGAAGAGAGTTTAGTTTCCGTCTGGGAAGCAGGGGAGAAGGGGCTAGGGAGGGGGCGGAGAAGGCAGGGCCCAGCCACCCCCCATCTCAAGGGGGGGGCCCTGAGGCCTCCTAGCCCCAGTTCCCGTAACCAGATTGCATCTGTGCTGGGCTGTATCCGGGAGAAGCAATAAACTCCCTGAACCCTACTGGCGGGTGGAGTCTGTTCGTGCCACTACGGGGGTGCAGGAACGGGGGAACCCCGACGCGCCGTCACAGCCTGCCGCTCAGTCAGTTTGCCAGGGCTCCCGTAGCACCCCTGCCTCAGTTTCCCTACTTGTCTGGAATTGGTGCTGGAGCCAGGGTAAAGCTGCTGTCCTGGGACACCCCTCGTCACTGCCTGGGCAGCAGGGTGCTCCGGGAGAGCCGAGGGTACGAATCGGCAGCCAGGAACACAGACAGGGCCAAAGGGACAGGAAACAGCGAGCAGGACGCCAGCAGAGGCAGCCCCTGTGCTGGTGTCTAGGGAAAACCAGCCGCTCGATCCCTCGGCCGCGCCCACACGGCCCTGAGTGCCTAATTGCTGCCCGGGCTGTGGGGTTCTCCCAACCCGGCGCCGTCCACAGAGGCTTGGGGAGAGCCGTTGAGCTCAGCCCCGCATGCGCCTTCCTGCCGGGGAGGGTTTCACTAGGAACCGTTTGGAGAGAGCTCCGCCAGGCGGGGGGAGGCTGGGAAAATGCCAGGCATGCCCTGCAGGGTGCCAGCAGCTGTCCTCCCCCTCCTCCCCCGCAACGACACGGCTGGTTTGC